ATGTGTCCTGTAATATTTAGATTTTTTGATGAAAGCCACTCCATGATTAATACAGCTTCTAACACTTTCTGGATTTTTACAGAGTTTTCTTTGTTTTTGTTATATGCTTTTTTAAAGTAAAAATACGTAGTTGTAGTAGTAGTAATAGGAATAAGTGATACAAGTATTAATAGTAATTAGGGAGTTACAGTTGTGCAAGTGTTGCCTCTCAGTGAGTGTTTGTGGGTAAATTATTGGCCCTACAAACCATGCATGCATTTAACTTCACTTCTCACACAGTCTGGTCTGATGTGTGGTTTCCAAGTGTATGGACTCGTCACAGTGGAAGCCTGGTGGTCTTCTGAGGGCCCCTCACACTTTAACCTCAGAGGAGTGCAGATGGAAATGCTCCCTTGGTTTCTAACAACGTGTGTGTGTGTGTGTGTGTGTGTCTGTGTGTGTCTGTGTCGGATGCAGGACTAATGAAACAAGTGAACACCAGCAGTTATTGCGGAAGAGTCATGTGGTCAAGTTGGGTTGGAGGAAGCAGGGTGGGGAGTGGGTGGGGGTGGAAGGCAGAGTATGGGCAGTTGTTTTAAACTTTCAGTTAAAACCACCTGTAACAAACTCTGTCTGACATACCCAGAACAGTTTTTACTGTAGATAATAGACGATAAAGTGCAACTTGATAACCGAATTTGATTTGTTTTCAATAAAGGAACATTTCTGTTTAGAGTGAAACTCCTGATGGTGAAGAGTCTGTGGGTGATTTAACAGCCAACAATTACCTTTTACATTTGATTTCAAAAATGTTACTTTAAAAGTCTCAATCTATAAAAGTCTTGGTGCACTGTGCTGACTGAGGACAACTGTTAACAGCCAGCAATTAAAGGGAAATTACAAAACTTTTATCAGTGAGAATTTACTTGTGTTTTGTCTGTTGGTTGGACAAACTGAGCAATTTAAAGAAACACGTTTTTGTATTGTGTAATAGGCATATTGCCATTTTTAAAGTATTTTCTAAACAAATCCCAAATTTGTATACATTTGATCTTGGGGGTGGGCCCCTGTGATGATCATCATTTATCAGTACAATAGAGATGCTTATCCTGGGACATTACAGTCGCTGATTTCATCTTAATTTAAAGCCAACTGGCATATTACAGTGCAAGAAGTTACATTTGAGTAAAAGTAGCACAGTGAACGTACTAATCTATAAGAATTCATGTTATAAAAGCTCACAATGTGTTTGGTTTATACTTGAACGGACAAATACATGTGTTGAAGTGAAACATTTACTCAAGTGTTGTACTTAAAGCTAGCCA